TTACACCATACCATGTCCTACTGTCCTACTTACACCATACCCTGTCCTACTGTCCTACTGTCCCACTTACACCATACTGTGTCCTACTGTCCTACTTACACCATACCGTGTCCTACTGTCCTACTGTCCTACTTACACCATACCGTGTCCTACTGTCCTACTTACACCATACCCTGTCCTACTGTCCCACTTACACCATACAGTGTCCTACTGTCCTACTTACACCATACCGTGTCCTACTGTCCTACTGTCCTACTTACACCATACCGTGTCCTACTGTCCTACTGTCCTACTTACACCATACCGTGTCCTACTGTCCTACTGTCTCACTTACACCATACTGTGTCCTACTGTCCCACTTACACCATACCGTGTCCTACTGTCCTACTTACACCATACCATGTCCTACTGTCCTACTTACACCATACCCTGTCCTACTGTCCTACTGTCCCACTTACACCATACTGTGTCCTACTGTCCTACTTACACCATACCGTGTCCTACTGTCCTACTTACACCATACCATGTCCTACTGTCCTACTTACACCATACCCTGTCCTACTGTCCTACTGTCCCACTTACACCATACCGTGTCCTACTGTCCTATTTACACCATACCGTGTCCTACTGTCCCACTTACACCATACTGTGTCCTACTGTCCTACTTACACCATACCCTGTCCTACTGTCCCACTTACACCATACTGTGTCCTACTGTCCTAGCTACACCATACCGTGTCCTACTGTCCTAGCTACACCATACCGTGTCCTACTGTCCTACTTACATCACACTGTGTCCTACTGTCTCACTTACACCATACTGTGTCCTACTGTCTCACTTACACCATACAGATTCCTACTGTCCCACTTATACCATACAGTGTCCTACTGTCCCACTTACACCATACCGTGTCCTACTGTCCCACTTACACCATACCGTGTCCTACTGTCCTACTGTCCTACTTACACCATACCGTGTCCTACTGTCCCACTTACACCATACAGTGTCCTACTGTCCCACTTACACCATACCGTGTCCTACTGTCCTACTGTCCTACTTACACCATACCGTGTCCTACTGTCCCACTTACACCATACAGTGTCCTACTGTCCCACTTACACCATACAGTGTCCTACTGTCCCAGCTACACCATACAGATTCCTACTGTCCCCGCTACACCATACAGTGTTCTACTGTCCTAGCTACACCATACAGTGCCCTACTGTCCCACTTACACCATACCAGACCGCCTCCGTGGTCTTGTGGTAGAGCGTCCACCCGGACAGCGGAAGGTCCAGGGTTCGATCCCGGGCCGCGTCATACAAAAAGACATTAACAGATTGTACTTGTTGTTACCCTGTCTGACGCTCGGCATTAAGGGGCTAAAACAAGGACTGGTCGTCTCGGAGTCAGTATACTGTGTCTGAGTGGGGTATTCATGGTAAACTGCGGCATGGTATCTCAGTGAGATAGCACTATAAATCGGCATCAGTCCGGACTAGTACAAGCAGCCACACACACACATACACGTGCATGCACGTCGCTATATAAGTGCAATAATCTTTGACGAGACGTTAAACCCAATTTCACCTCACCTCACCTACATCATACCATGTCCTACTGACCTACTTACACCATACCGTGTCCTACTGCCCTAGCTACACCATACCGCTATACCATACAGATTCCTACTGCCCTCCCTGCACCATACAGCGTCCTGCTGCCCTAGCTACACTATACAGATTCCTACTGTCCCTGCTACACCATACGGACCGCCTCCGTGGTCTTGTGGTAGAGCGTCCGCCCGGATAGCGGAAGGTCCAGGGTTCAATCCCTGGCCGCGTCATACCAAAAGAAATTAAAAGATGGTACTTGTTGTTACCCTGTCTGGCGCTCGGCATTAAGGGGCTAAAACAATGACTGGTCCGCTCGGAGTCAGTATACTGTGTCTGAGTGGGGTATTCATGTTAAACTGCGGCATGGTTTCTCAGTGAGCTAGCACTTTAAATCTGCATCAGTCCGGACTAGTACAAGCAGCCACACAAACACACACACACACGTACATGCACGTCGCTATATAAGTGCAAAAATCTTGGACGCGACGTTAAACCCCATTTCACCTCACCGCTACACCATACAGCATCCTACTGCCCTCGCTACACCATACAGCGTCCTACTGCCCTAGCTATACTATACCGATTCCTACTGTCCCCGCTACACCATACAACATCCTACTGCCCTCGCCACGCCATACAGCATCCTACTGTCCCAGCTACACCATACAGCGTCCTACTGTCCCAGCTACACCATACAGCGTCATACTGCCCTAGCTACACTATACAGATTCCTACTGTCCCCGCTACACCATACAGCATCCTACTGCCCTCGCCACGCCATACAGCATCCTACTGTCCCCGCTACACCATACAGCATCCTACTGCCCTCGCTACGCCATACAGCGTCCTTCTGTTCCCGCTACACCATACAGCGTCCTACTGCCCTCGCTACGCCATACAGCATTCTACTGCCCTCGCTACGCCATACAGCATCCTACTGTCCCCGCTACACCATACAGCATCCTACTGCCCTCGCTACGCCATACAGCATCCTACTGCCCTCGCTACACCATACAGCATCCTACTGTCCCCGGTACACCATACAGCATCCTACTGTCCCCGGTACACCATACAGCATCCTACTGCCCTCGCTACACCATACAGCATCCTACTGTCCCCGGTACATCATACAGCATCCTACTGTCCCCGCTACACCATACAGCGTCCTACTGCCCCCGCTACACCATACAGCGTCCTACTGCCCTCGCTACACCATACAGCATCCTACTGTCCCCAGTACACCATACAGCATCCTACTGTCCCCGCTACACCATACAGCATCCTACTGCCCTCGCTACACCATACAGCATTCTACTGCCCTCGCTACACCATACAGCATTCTACTGCCCTCGCTACACCATACAGCATCCTACTGCCCTCGCTACACCATACAGCATTCTACTGCCCTCGCTACACCATACAGCATTCTACTGCCCTCGCTACACCATACAGGGTCCTACTGCCCTCGCTACACCATACAGGGTCCTACTGCCCTCGCTACACCATACAGCATCCTACTGTCCCCGGTACACCATACAGCATCCTACTTTCCTCGCTACACCATACAGCATCCTACTGCCCTCGCTACACCATACAGCATCCTACTGCCCTCGCTACACCATACAGCGTCCTACTGCCCTAGCTACACTATACAGCGTCCTACTGTCCCCGCTACACCAAAAAGCATCCTACTGCCCTCGCTACACCATACAGCGTCCTACTGTCCCCGGTACACCATATAGCATCCTACTGTCCCCGCTACACCATACAGCATCCTACTGCCCTCGCTACACCATACAGCATCCTACTGTCCCAGGTACACCATACAGCATCCTACTGCCCTCGCTACACCATACAGCATCCTACTTTCCTCGCTACACCATACAGCATCCTACTGCCCTAGCTACACCATACAGCATCCTACTGCCCTCACTACACCATACAGCGTCCTACTGCCCTAGCTACAGTATACAGATTCCTACTGTCCCCGCTACACCATACAGCATCCTACTGCCCTCGCCACGCCATACAGCATCCTACTGTCCCCGCTTCACCATACAGCATCCTACTGCCCTCGCTACGCCATACAGCGTCCTTCTGTTCCCGCTACACCATACAGCGTCCTTCTGCCCTCGCTACGCCATACAGCATCCTACTGCCCTCGCTACGCCATACAGCATCCTACTGTCCCCGCTACACCATACAGCATCCTACTGCCCTCGCTACGCCATACAGCGTCCTACTGCCCTCGCTACACCATACAGCGTCCTACTGCCCTAGCTACACCATACAGCATCCTACTGTCCCCGGTACACCATACAGCATCCTACTGCCCTAGCTACACCATACAGCATCCTACTGTCCCCGGTACACCATACAGCATCCTACTGTCCCCGCTACACCATACAGCGTCCTACTGCCCTAGCTACACCATACAGCCTACTGCCCTCGCTACACCATACAGCCTACTGCCCTCGCTACACCATACAGCATCCTACTGCCCTTGCTACACCATACAGCGTCCTACTGCCCTAGCTACACTATACAGATTCCTACTGCCCTAGTTACACCATACAGCATCCTACTGTCCTCGCTACACCATACAGCATCCTACTGCCCTCGCTACACCATACAGAGCCCTACTGTCCCAGCTACACCATACAGTGTCCTACTGTCCTCGCTACACCATACAGCGTCCTACTGTACCAGCTACACCATACAGTGTCCTACTGCCCTCGCTACACCATACAGCGTCCTACTGTCCCAGCTACACCATACAGCGTCCTACTGTACCAGCTACACCATACAGTGTCCTACTGCCCTTGCTACACCATACAGCGTCCTACTGTCCTCGCTACACCATACAGCATCCTACTGCCCTCGCTACACCATACAGAGCCCTACTGTCCCAGCTACACCATACAGTGTCCTACTGTCCTCTCTGCACCATACAGCGTCCTACTGTCCCAGCTACACCATACAGTGTCCTACTGCCCTCGCTACACCATACAGCGTCCTACTGTCCCAGCTGCACCATACAGTGTCCTACTGTCCTCGGTACACCATACAGTATCCTACTGCCCTCGCTACACCATACAGAGCCCTACTGCCCTAGCTACACCATACAGCATCCTACTGCCCTAGCTACACCATAGAGTTGCTTGCATATGATGGTGGCAGGCCAAGCTCCAGTAACACCACCTGAGTTTGCAAAAGGTAATTATCTTGCATGTGATTGGATGACCTTGAAGGTCAAGGTCACTTGTTTTTGTTATCGATATAATATGATCTATGAGAACAGCTCATGGGATCAGGTAAATCAGGTTTATTGAGAATCGTGTGATGGTGGCAGAGCCTGATCTCCAGTATTCTTGCTGTTGCAGGAAAGTGTCAACTGAGGCCAATGTGGATGTGCCCCTGGCGGAAGCCTCCTGACATCTTCCACCCTCTCAACAAGATCCCAGTGTGCTTCCAGTGCCATGACTACATGACTACTCTGGCTTACACTCGCTGAAAATAGGTATCTGCCGGAGGATGTGTTGATTGGAGAATGTGAAGCAAGTATCGATATCCTACTGACACAAGACAACTGCTCCAGCAAAACTACATGCTCCAGGAATCAGTGTGGTGCTTCTCTCCTACTCATGACAAACACAAGTAATAAATCAAACAAAATGTTTGCAATCTTTGACAGACACTGTTGCTGAGCCCACATATAGCAATTTGTTCCTTCAATTGTATTATCTCCATTCCTTGTGTATGTGTTTGTTTTGAGTTTATTTTCTGATTATCCTACCAAAGACCCTGTGATGCAGACAGGACTGTGGTTCCCACAGCTGCATTACAAGGTGATCTTTACCTGGCACAACAAAATATTTGTATGTACAAGCTTCCTTCATTGGTCAGTCTGTCGGTCATGTTTGGTTTCAATAGCTGAATTGCATACTGTTCAATATGATTCCATGAAACATGTTTGCCAAGTGGTGCCTTTTGGCAGTTACCATTTTCTACCATCCGTAAGTATTTTGTGTGTTTCAGAAGAATCAAGGTGAAATATATCTATCTGAGCAGGTTTGCATCATCACTAGAAGTGTTCCCATAATATCACTCATCTATCAATCAAACATTGTTGTAGGATATTTGCAAATCCAAATGTTTATCTTGTTTTGTAGTCCATGGCAACAAGATACAATAGTACTTACTTTTTGCTGTATTTGGAATTTGCCCATTTGTTCATCTTTCTGTATAGTTTGATATGTTTTTACAAGCACTTTTGTGAAGTTGTGAGGGCATTACTTCAACAAAGGAAGGAGGTATATATATATATATATATATATATATATATACATAATGCAGCTGCCTGATCAAGGAACTCCTACACCCCTGTGTACTTCACAACTTGGCCCAGAGAGGATTCCAGGTTACAATTGGTCCCCAGCAGACTGTGCTTGTCTTGAGAGGAAACTGCATAGATCTGATGGTCAGGCTTGGTGATTTGGTTAATTGCATATCATTGTACCGTGACTGCATGGATCGGTGCGCAATTATCAATGACTTGACTTGATTATTTGCAGTCTGTCATATAGCTGAAATGTTGCCGAGAGCTGTCACTAAACAACAAACAAGACAAAAATGTCACGGCTTTGGGCTGTGATGACTTATGACATTGGTCATGAAATATGTATATAAGAGCCATCAAATGCTGCAATGGTTGTTTCGCACAAGATGTTTTCTTGATGTTCAGGATCTGGAGCTCCCTTTGATGGACTACCATCAAAAGCCAAGATCAAACATTTGTTATGTTACCTTGTTTCATTCCTACTTCATACTTCATCTACGTATGTCCTCACGTGAAAGTCACTGCACTGATCACTTCAAGACAGCAGAATATGGTCAATATCATGCAGGATCGGTTGACCAGTAAGGTTCCAAACATCACTCTCTGCTCAAAAAGAGTATTTATTTGTTTTCATTCCAAAGACAAGCTGAGGTTGTGTTCATTATTCATCAACATGCCATGTGACTCCTTCTCATGTGTAAAAACTCTCAACTTTTAGGGAAGGTGAAAAGTCTGGACGAGGCCTGGACTACAGCAGTGAGAGTCCAGACTTGAAGCTATGCACAACCATATCCCAGTGTCCTTTCAAGACACTGTCTCCACCTCATTGTTAGAAAGAGCTGCATTTTGAGAGTCCTTTAATCACTGTGAAAGATACATGATATTTGTTTACCTGTTGATGTCCTTGGCTATACATGTACAAGTAAGTGTGACCTCACAAGCTAATCACCGAAAGAGTCTATGGAGGCAGAGTATGCTAGTGTGTAGTGTATGACATTCTTGAAGGCCTATCTCTGATCTTGTTGCACAAAGTTTTGTATATTCCCCTACAACGATTCTTTACAGTGCCTCACTCTGATCCTTACTAACAGCGACCTAATACTTAATGCCTTCTGTATGAAACAGGGTCCATGAGGAAGAAGTCAATGAACTTTCTGCAATACTAGCAGACTAGTGAGCTAGCTAGTCTCCCAGGATTGCTGGTTTCATTCTTGGGCAGAGGTAGCTTTAGTTACATGTAAATATATTTCCCACACTATTGGTTGTTCAACCACCGAATAATGACAGGTGTGAGAGGCTTCATACCTTCATATACCTCCTATATACTCTGGAGGAATTGTGCTGACATTTTTTTGGATGACCTTGATTAACTAAGCGCAAAAAAACATTGTGGTCATGACAAATGGATCTTGATGAAACTTAGTATACATCTCTAAGGTGGTTGTCTCGATTGTGTCAACTTTTGAGTTACCTCCATGCAAGGTCAAGGTGAATAAAAGTCAGACATCGTTCGAAATTTCAGGTTAATTCCTGAAAAATCTGAGCAGTTTCCAATCACTAATAATTGACAGTCAATACCTGGCATACCGTATATGACCGCGTATAAGCCGAATTTCGAGGACCAGAAAAAAGATTCTGTAGAAAGGGGTCGGCTTATCCACGGGATACACTTTCATGATAGTATTTTTCAGATCATGATCTGTCAGAAACATCGCCTGAATGACGGTCCGATAGATCACAACTTCCCGAAAGTTTGGAAGTTGCCACGACTAGAGCCATTATTGTTATAAATTATCAATAAAGTTATTATTATACACCAATGTTGTCATTATTAAAAAAATGTTATGCATGTCTCTACTTCCGATAATAAGTTTTCAATTGAATGTTCAAAGTTTATCGTTCTTCGTAAACTCTGCGATCTTTACATGTAACAATATATGTAATTCACAGCTATAATATATAATCCCCAGATGAAATCGCCAATAGCTATTACGTACGTTTTGCAAAGTTCATAAATTGATAGTGAATAAAACGAAAACGCCATGCTTACGATGCTGAATTCAAACTGCGAGTCTTCGCTCTAGCCGATATATTTTCTCACGGGTTCATAATTCTATATACACCGATTCACAAAATGGCGCTTCGTTGTTGATGGCAACATATAACGATCATTATGAGATTAAAAAAACCCACGAGAAACAGCTTTCCACATTATGAAAGTGGATGACTAGTTTGTTAAATCTTTATTAGTAATAATAATGACTTTTTCAATATAATTATAACGTTTTTCATCTTATATTTTTGAATATCTGGGAGTACCGGCACATGTCTTGCAGTCTGACTTCGCAGTGTTTTTTGCCTTTCAATTCCTGGTTCGGCTTATCTGCGGGTCATATCATTTTCTTTCGTATTTCAATGCTCAAGTTAACACCTCGGCTTATCTACGGGGTCGGCTTATCCGCGGTCATATACGGTATGTCATTCTAGTGTCAGATGTCAAGGTCAGTTTCAAGGTCACTCATGAAATGACTTGTAATAGCTTGTGATTGGATTTTGACAAAACCTTTTTACATGATCTTTAGGCAGTTCACAGCCGAGATTGAAGGTCAAGGTCATCAAACTGGAAGTGCTTTTAACTTGTTCTTAAGGTAGCTGGAGGCATGACTTTGTTTCAAAGCTGTACTGCATTGTCTATGAGTTTTCCCAAACTGGAATTGCTCATGACATTATCATGGTAGCTAGAGACGAAGGTTTTTGTTGCATTTGGCATGTGAGGATGACTGTCACCTGGTGTAGTAAACTCAAAATAGTTTATGATACATGTGTCTGATGGGAAAGGTTTGGGGGGAAAGGGTCTGCTTTTGCTTTGTAATGGATATAATTATCCATGAGAACAGCTCATGTGATCAGGTAAATGTATGTTGAGAATCCTGGGTATAACAAAGAAGAGCACATGGGGGGGGGGGGGGTTTAATGGCATTGACTTGATGTTGATTACAGTAGTCATGTTTTTATGTATATGTTTATCTTAGCTAATGAAACATTTTTAATCAAAGTAAAGTTTGTTATCTAGTTCATTGTGTGTGACAGATTTTAATGTTGCAAGGTACATTTCTCCCACATTCCAGTATACCCTGACACTGCTTCAATACCGGCCAGTGTATGGCTCTAGATTATCAGACCTAGTGGTATCTAGCAGGGTCGAGCAGGCCACTGCAGTGTTTAGTCTGACGTCTACCTAGTGGTACTGCAATGAAGTATTTTCATGGTTTACCAAGATTCTACCAAAAATGTTCTTAAACTTGTAAATTTTTACACTAGCCTATACACTTGTCTCCTTGTATACTTATTGGAAGTGTTGGTAAATTGCCTTGCACAGTTGTTCTCAAGAGTTGACATTTCTGTACTTAGACGATGTAGGCAATGTAAACCGCTATCAATGTAACGCCACCCAACAAGAATAGGAGAGCTTCTGTTAGGAACAGTTTCTCATTTGGCAATCAGACAGTTGTTTTGAATGGCAGTTTATTGCAATGTAAATATACCTTCTGACATTTGTTACCATTTCTCACGGCTCTTGGCTTCACTACACAGCTATGAACTGGGGCAAGGGATGTACACAGGACTACCTGGTCCTGTGGTTAATTGTTTATTTCTGATTATGCACACATTGCTTCTGACTTTTATATGATTGAGTAAACTAAAGGTAAAGTTTGCATGAGCAGAACATGTTGTATGTGTATCTAAGTAGTTTTTGCAAGGGCTGCAGTAAAACACTTTTCATTCAGATATTTTGTACCCAACTCATGGGACTTATAGTGGGTACCCAGGTAGGGTCAGGTGATAGGGTGTCGGGTACCCAGGTAGGGTCAGGTGATAGGGTGTCGGGTACACAAGTAGGGTACACAAGTAGGGTCAGGTGATAGGGTGTCGGGTACCCAGGTGATAGGGTGTTGGGTACCCAGGTAGGGTCAGGTGATAGGGTGCGGGTACCCAGGTAGGGTCAGGTGATAGGGTGTCGGGTACCCAGGTAGGGTCAGGTGATAGGGTGACGGGTACACAAGTAGGGTACACAAGTAGGGTCAGGTGATAGGGTGTTGGGTACCCAGGTAGGGTCAGGTGATAGGGTGTCGGGTACCCAGGTAGGGTCAGGTGATAGGGTGTCGGGTGCCCGTGTAGTATGTATCATCTACACCATCATCTCAACCATAAGGCTGAAATGGAAGATGAAGGAATTGGTTTCATGTTTGTCTGTGCTGCTTCTATATTTCCATGATAGCAGACTACAGGTCCTGCATGTGTAACATTCCCTTACCTTACCTCCCTGGCGTGTCTGCCTGCCTGCAGCAGGTGGTATGGTGTCTGTGTCTGTCCATCCTTCCCACCACATCACTGCCTGTACCTCACGCAACTTACTATGTACAAACTAACATTGCAATATTTTTTGTACAGTTTATACTTCCTGCACAAAGACTATTTTTATGAATATTCTCCTATATTTGACATTTTTTACATGATGTGCATGACAGGTGACCTGTTGGTGTATGCCACTAATGTGCATTGACCTGGTATCTCACCACTGACCACTAGCTACTAGTATCAATCACAAAACTGTACACCCATCCTTGCATCAAAACATTCCCATCTTTGAGAAGCAGCCTTCAATCAACTTACTATGTATATTACAATATCTAGCCCAGTCATGTACCCCTGGGTAATGCATTTCAGTGTGGCTGCAGACAGCTGCTTGTCCCATGTCTACCATGTTAAATGAACATTAGAAGGTCCCACTGAAGAAACAATATGCAGACAAATATTTTTCTAATTTTTGTATTTGTATATCCTGATGTAATAAAGTGTTGTCAGTGTACCCATGTGTGGTACAGTGAAGCTGGTAGCTGTAGTGCTGTGCTGCTGTATTGTGGTGCTGTCAGACATGATGCTGGCCATCACTCACAATGTCAGTAAACTTGCTTCACCATCACACCCTCAGTCTGTTCTGTTTCACACAACTAATGTAGAATTCAATACACACAACATAGGGCATACACTGAAGTATGTACATAATGTATTGTAGAAAACAAAGTGGCATTTTAAGTGAGACTGTTCGGTGTACCGGTGTGTCACTTCAATGCCAGTAATCAAGGGCTGTCCAATGTTCATATACTACAGACAGCAAATCAGGTGTGATGTATGTGTGTTCCTGACATCTGGTCCACTGTGCTGTGATGTGCCCAGCACGTCCATGTTATCACAGTATGCAAGCCTGGGGAAGATGGAGGCTGTCTTCACAAGCGACTGGGATGCGGGTAGCCGTCAAACACCATGCGGAAGTTGGCATCCACAGCCCTGCCAGTGTAGGCTCCTGCCTTCAGGGCGGTGATCACAGGGCACAAGTTTGCTTCACACCACCTGCAGGAACACATATAGGTCAGTGGTCATCATACATAATTTATCTTCACAAATATTTAAGGATTAACTGTGGATTTTTATCGGTTCATTGAGGTAGGAATAAAAAAAACGATGTGCAAACTGTATGAAGCCACAAAGTTAGTAGCCAATCAACGGAGAGTAGGATCAAAACAAAGTTTATAAGACTTGTCAATCAAGGCAAGAGGCGAGAACTGCAACAGTCAGACTGTAACAAACTGGAACAAAATATATATTCTGGGAGAAGGCGGTTGTTTCAAATGACATGTTACTGCCAGATACAATCGTCAGTTCCCTGTAAATGGGAAGACACAGTTGGAAAAATGAGAGTTAGAAATGAATCCTGAAGACACGAAATTTGTGAACCCATGTGAGTGGTTTCATTCCTTCTCTGCCTTTGGTCTGAAAGACTGGTTTGGACAATGAATATGCATAAAATTTCCTTAAATGCCCAGTGCATTAGGATACTGAGCAGAAAGGGAATCCCCTAGACTGTAATATTGGGATTCCCCGACATTCCATAGAAATAAGAGTAGTCCGCTTTGGTGGGTGTGGCTTAATTTTGTTTACATTCACTGGGAAATGAATGCAACAACAACCAATTCAGCTAATCAGAATTCAGGAATTACAATGAATACAATGAAAATTTAATTATTGTATTATGATGTTGGACTATTATCCAAAACGATGGATCAGGGGAAATAAATATAGGTTATTTCTTGGTCAAACAAAAATTCTTTTATAGAATTTTCAGAAACAATGTGTGGCTGTCTTCCAGTATCACACCACTCCATTCCTTCTGACCCTCTGACCAGATCCACGGTTTGGACCTCAAAGACCCTACCTCCATAAACCCATTCACTGTTCCACCAGGAAATATAGCAGATTTGTGATTCAGGGGTCATCTCTTTTCTTGGGATGTGGCTTCACTTGTCCCAGCATAACATTTGGACCCAGAGAAGGAGTGCCAATTTCTCGATATTTCAAGACCCCAGTAATATAGTCTCAAGACATTGGAAGTTCTGGGGCGAAAGTTCATGTTTCCTCAGTGTAGAATTAGATCCGTTAAATGGTGGCTACCGACACCTTTTGATGCAAACACAGTCACATCTATTCACAACAATCCAACAGTGATAAAAAACCTTCACGCCTCAAAACTATCACACTTTCAAAAAAGTAGGGATTTTCTAAATACTACCTCTATTACTTCATTACCATAAATCCTGTATTTTGGCCGTCATCACACAATATAAATCATCACTGCCACTATACATAATCAGTTATGCAATTAACAGTATCCTGCTGTCCAAGCCTTTAGTGCATGAGCAAGGCGGGACACCTCACTTCATTCCAAAATCAGCTCTGACTATGCAGGATGTTGGAGAGGTATGTATGTTGTTAACGCCACACTCGGCAATATTCCAGCTATATGACAGTGGTCTGTAAATAATCACGTCTGGACCAGACAATCCAGTGACTGATATCATGAGCATTAATCCACACAATTGGGATACCTTGACATGCATCAACCAAGTCAGTGAGCCTGACCACCTGATCCCTTTAGTCACTTCTCACAACTAGCATAGTCGCCTTTACAGCAAGCATGGGTTGCTGAAGACCAATTCTAGCCCGGACCTCCTTGTGTCTGGAGAGTTATGTGGGAATACTGATGTAATAGAGGTTGTATTCTAAGAATTTTGAACGTTGACTAGTATTGTTTGATCATTCCTGTCAACATTCTACATCTATTACACCAATATACCAGAGGGACTGGTGGGTTCTGACATCTGGTAACCCTTGGATAGTTAACTGTTGTTTGTTGGTACATAATAATTCCAAAGCCCTTGAACTTGCGGCAAGGGTTGTATGGATCCATGATCATGAAGTGACCGAAGTTTCTAGAAGATGATGTAGATGGCGTCGGAAGCGCCATATCGATTCCAATCACGTTTTTCTTAGCTACTATGTAACCATGTCTTCAGCTGAATCTCAAGATTAAGAACAACCCTAATCTTCCTATTACTGAAGATCTTATTACAGCGTGACAACTAACAAAGTAATGTGTTATGTCAACTTGTTGACACTACTGGTAAACCAGGAAAAGTTGAGTTGTGACCTGACCAGTATCTCTGTATGACTATGTATGAGGTCAGCCCAATGATGCATACCATTGTGCAGAAAGGGGTGGTCCACGACAAGTAGTGCATTGATATGTGTGTTTCCTGTATCAGCTTACAGCATGTTCTAATGGCAAGTTCAATAGCACATTCTTGTATGTGCTGATGTGAGGTACCTGGATAACCATAGCACCGGCAATGCCAGCTTTTGACAATGCTTGAGGTTTGTTTGTACAATCTTTCTCCATGACATTCTAGGGCCAATTCTCGATACTGAGAATGTATGATTGAGTGAGTGAGTGAGTATGGTTTTACGCCGCTTTTAGCAATATTCCAGCAATATCACGGCGGGGGACACCAGAAATGGGCTTCACACATTGTACCCATGTCGGGAATCGAACCCGGGTCTTCGGCGTGACGAGCTAACGCTTTAACCACTAGGCTACCCGACCGCCCCTGTATGATTGAGCCAAGCTTATGTAGCTTTGACATGTTTATTTGTTTGTAATTAACTTCTATCAAACGTCTTTTAGAGAATTCTAGTGTCGGCTTGTCCCGTCGACCTTTAATAGTCTTATGAGCAACACATGTGTCCATGGGAGCGCAGTCAATTTCATCCTCATGACCTGCATGTGGAAACAAGTGTACACCCTCTCTACCTGTCACAAACCAAATACGTTGGCCAAAATTCTGTGCACTGCCTACTTTGTCTCACGCATTTTGTGAGTTCGTTCAACTTATCCTGGACACACAGGAAAGAAGTGAGGTTTCCTGCCTTGTGCCTCACAAGAACCTTAGGCAGCAAGATACTACTTCTTGCACCACTGACTATGGATAGTTGACAGTGAAGCGGAATTCTGTTGAAAACCTGAATCTTTTTATAGTTTGATAACAATCAAAATACAGGATAATGGCTATGATGTAATAGAGGTTTTGTATTCACAGGAATTGTTTTTCACTATTAGATTTGTTAAATTTATAAAGTCTCAGTTAGCAGGTATCTATCTGGATGTTGTTACCTCTGTGCAGCATATACATCCATATCGGTGGCACCATCAGCTGCAGCATGCTCCACCAGCAAAGCACCTGGTATGCAGAATAGTCACACATTTTCAACCATGTAAACATGGTAAAAGAAAACATTCCAGTTATTAACTTTACATCAATACACAAAATGATTGTTAATAAATAATAAATGTGTCATCATGTGTTTGGTTGAGTGAGTGAGCATTGTTTTACGCCGCTTTTAGCAATATTCCAGCATTATCACGGCAGAGAACACCAGAAATAAGCTTCACACATTGTATCCATGTGGAGAATCGAACTGGGTCTCCACCCTCATGTTTTTAGGAAAACATTTGCCTAATATGTAACTTGAAATCCAAAAGTTCAATGTCTCTCAAGCAAACCTAATGAGAAAGTGCTCTAGGGCCTGCTGTCCCTAATTCCAGTCTAGGTAGGGTCTCATACCCGTGTAGTCAATTTGGACTCGTCAAAACCCTACAACTTACCCATGAATGTCTTGGACAGACTGTAGGCAAAGTCTCTTGCTGCTAACTCCAGCAGCTCAGAGTGTTTTCCAGCAAAACCAACCGTGTTGCCCAAGGCTTCGTTCACCCTCTCCACAGCAGACTTAAGAGCTTCTTTATCTTTAGCGGTTGCTAGTCTTGTCTGGATGTCCTCATGGTACACTTTCAGAGCAGAGCCTCCGGACTTGGAGATGGCTCGGAGCACGTCAAGGGACAGGATGTTTGTGGTGCCTTCCCAGATAGACAGTACCTACACAACACAAATACAGGATATTGGTTGTGCCCGTCCAGATAGAAAGTACCTACACAACACAAATACAGGACGTTGGTTGTGCCTTCCCAGATAGACAGTACCTACACAACACAAATACAGGATGTTGGTTGTGCCTTCCCAGATAGACAGTGCCTACACAACACAAATACAGGATGTTGGTTGTGCCTTCCCAGATAGACAGTACCTACACAACACAAATACAGGATGTTGGTTGTGCCTTCCCAGATAGACAGTACCTACACAACACAAATACAGGATGTTGGTTGTGCCTTCCCAGATAGAAAGTACCTACACAACACAAATACAGGATGTTGGTTGTGCCTTCCCAGATAGAAAGTACCTACACAACACAAATACAGGATGTTGGTTGTGCCCATCCAGATAGAAAGTACCTACACAACACAAATACAGGATGTTGGTTGTGCCTTCCCAGATAGAAAGTACCTACACAACACAAATACAGGATGTTGGTTGTGCCCATCCAGATAGAAAGTACCTACACAACACAAATACAGGATGTTGGTTGTGCCTTCCCAGATAGAAAGTACCTACACAACACAAATACAGGATGTTGGTTGTGCCTTCCCAGATAGACAGAACCTACACAACACAAATACAGGATGTTGGTTGTGCCTTCCCAGATAGAAAGTACCTACACAACACAAATACAGGATGTTGGTTGTGCCCATCCAGATAGAAAGTACCTACACAACACAAATACAGGATGTTGGTTGTGCCTTCCCAGATAGAAAGTACCTACACAACACAAATACAGGATGTTGGTTGTGCCCATCCAGATAGAAAGTACCTACACAACACAAATACAGGATGTTGGTTGTGCCTTCCCAGATAGAAAGTACCTACACAACACAAATACAGGATGTTGATTGTGCCTTCCCAGATAGACAGTACCTACACAACACAAATACAGGATGTTGGTTGTGCCTTCCCAGATAGAAAGTACCTACACAACACAAATACAGGATGTTGGTTGTGCCCATCCAGATAGAAAGTACCTACACAACACAAATACAGGATGTTGGTTGTGCCTTCCCAGATAGAAAGTACCTACACAACACAAATACAGGATGTTGGTTGTGCCCATCCAGATAGAAAGTACCTACACAACACAAATACAGGATGTTGGTTGTGCCTTCCCAGATAGAAAGTACCTACACAACACAAATACAGGATATTGGTTGTGCCCTCCCAGATAGACAGTACCTACACAACACAAATACAGGATGTTGGTTGTGCCTTCCCAGATAGACAGTACCTACACAACACAAATACAGGATGTTGGTTGTGCCTTCCCAGATAGAAAGTACCTACACAACACAAATACAGGATATTGGTTGTGCCCTTCCAGACAGACAGTACCCACACAACACAAATACAGGATGTTGGTTGTGCCTTCCCAGAAAGACAGTAACTACACAACACAAATACAGGATGTTGGTTGTGCCCATCCAGACAGACAGTACCTACACAACACAAATACAGGATGTTGGTTGTGCCCTCCCAGATAGACAGTACCTACACAACACACATACAGGATATTGGTTGTGTCCTCCCAGATAGACAGCACCTACACAACACAAATACAGGATGTTGGTTGTGCCTTCCCAGATAGAAAGTACCTACACAACACAAATACAGGATGTTGGTTGTGCCTTCCCAGATAGACAGTGCCTACACAACACAAATACAGGATGTTGGTTGTGCCTTCCCAGATAGACAGCACCTACACAACACAAATACAGGATATTGTTTGTGCCTTCCCAGATAGACAGCACCTACACAACACAAATACAGGATGTTGGTTGTGCCTTCCCAGATAGACAGCACCTACACAACACAAATACAGGATGTTGGTTGTGCCCTCCCAGATAGACAGCACCTACACAACACAAATACAGGATATTGGTTGTGCCTTCCCAGATAGACAGTACATGCACAACACAAATACAGGCCTAGGATATTGGTTGTGCCCTCCCGGATAGACAGCACCTACACAACACAAATACAGGATATTGGTTGTGCCTTCCCAGATAGACAGTACATGCACAACACAAATACAGGATATTGGTTGTGCCTTCCCAGATAGAAAGTACCTACACAACACAAATACAGGATATTGGTTGTGCCTTCCCAGATAGACAGTACCTACACAACACAAATACAGGATATTGGTTGTGCCTTCCCAGATAGAAAGTACCTACACAACACAAATACAGGATGTTGGTTGTGCCTTCCCAGATAGACAGTACCTACACAACACAAATACAGGATATTGGTTGTGCCTTCCCAGATAGACAGTACATGCACAACACAAATACAGGATATTGGTTGTGCCTTCCCAGATAGACAGTAACTACACAACACAAATACAGGATGTTGGTTGTGCCTTCCCAGATAGACAGTACATGCACAACACAAATACAGGATATTGGTTGTGCCTTCCCAGATAGAAAGTACCTACACAACACAAATACAGGATGTTGGTTGTGCCTTCCCAGATAGACAGTACATGCACAACACAAATACAGGATATTGGTTGTGCCTTCCCAGATAGAAAGTACCTACACAACACAAATACAGGATATTGGTTGTGCCCTCCCGGATAGACAGCACCTACACAACACAAATACAGGATATTGGTTGTGCCTTCCCAGATAGACAGTACATGCACAACACAAATACAGGATATTGGTTGTGCCTTCCCAGATAGAAAGTACCTACACAACACAAATACAGGATGTTGGTTGTGCCTTCCCAGATAGACAGTACATGCACAACACAAATACAGGATATTGGTTGTGCCTTCCCAGATAGAAAGTACCTACACAACACAAATACAGGATGTTGGTTGTGCCTTCCCAGATAGACAGTACATGCACAACACAAATACAGGATATTGGTTGTGCCCTCCCGGATAGACAGTACCTACACAACACAAATACAGGATATTGATTGTGCCTTCCCGGATAGACAGCACCTACACAACACAAATACAGGATATTGGTTGTGCCTTCCCAGATAGACAGTACATGCACAACACAAATACAGGATATTGGTTGTGCCTTCCCAGATAGAAAGTACCTACACAACACAAATACAGGATGTTGGTTGTGCCTTCCCAGATAGACAGTACATGCACAACACAAATACAGGATATTGGTTGTGCCTTCCCAGATAGAAAGTACCTACACAACACAAATACAGGATGTTGGTTGTGCCTTCCCAGATAGACAGTACATGCACAACACAAATACAGGATATTGGTTGTGCCTTCCCAGATAGAAAGTACCTACACAACACAAATACAGGATATTGGTTGTGCCCTCCCGGATAGACAGCACCTACACAACACAAATACAGGATATTGATTGTGCCTTCCCAGATAGACAGTACATGCACAACACAAATACAGGATATTGGTTGTGCCTTCCCAGATAGAAAGTACCTACACAACACAAATACAGGATATTGGTTGTGCCTTCCCAGATAGACAGTACCTACACAACACAAATACAGGATATTGGTTGTGCCTTCCCAGATAGAAAGTACCTACACAACACAAATACAGGATGTTGGTTGTGCCTTCCCAGATAGACAGTACCTACACAACACAAATACAGGATATTGGTTGTGCCTTCCCAGATAGACAGTACCTACACAACACAAATACAGGATGTTGGTTGTGCCTTCCCAGATAGACAGTACATGCACAACACAAATACAGGATATTGGTTGTGCCTTCCCAGATAGAAAGTACCTACACAACACAAATACAGGATGTTGGTTGTGCCTTCCCAGATAGACAGTACCTACACAACACAAATACAGGATGTTGGTTGTGCCTTCCCAGATAGACAGTACATGCACAACACAAATACAGGATGTTGGTTGTGCCTTCCCAGATAGACAGTAACTATACAACACAAATACAGGATGTTGGTTGTGCCTTCCCAGATAGACAGTACATGCACAACACAAATACAGGATATTGGTTGTGCCTTCCCAGATAGAAAGTACCTACACAACACAAATACAGGATGTTGGTTGTGCCTTCCCAGATAGACAGTACATGCACAACACAAATACAGGATATTGGTTGTGCCTTCCCAGATAGACAGCACCTACACAACACAAATACAGGATATTGGTTGTGCCCTCCCAGATAGACCGTACATGCACAACACAAATACAGGCCTAGGATATTGGTTGTGCCCTCCCGGATAGACAGCACCTACACAACACAAATACAGGATGTTGGTTGTGCCTTCCCAGATAGACAGTACATGCACAACACAAATACAGGATATTGTTTGTGCCTTCCAAGATAGAAAGTACCTACACAACACAAATACAGGATATTGGTTGTGCCTTCCCAGATAGACAGTACCTACACAACACAAATACAGGATGTTGGTTGTGCCTTCCCAGATAGACAGTACCTACACAACACAAATACAGGATGTTGGTTGTGCCTTCCCAGATAGACAGTACCTACACAACACAAATACAGGATGTTGGTTGTGCCTTCCCAGATAGAAAGTACCTACACAACACAAATACAGGATGTTGGTTGTGCCCATCCAGATAGAAAGTACCTACACAACACAAATACAGGATGTTGGTTGTGCCTTCCCAGATAGAAAGTACCTACACAACACAAATACAGGATATTGGTTGTGCCTTCCCAGATAGAAAGTACCTACACAACACAAATACAGGATGTTGGTTGTGCCTTCCCAGATAGACAGTACCTACACAACACAAATACAGGATATTGGTTGTGCCCTTCCAGACAGACAGTACCCACAAAACAAAAATACAGGATGTTGGTTGTGCCTTACCAGAAAGACAGTAACTACACAACACAAATACAGGATGTTGGTTGTGCCCATCCAGACAGACAGTACCTACACAACACAAATACAGGATGTTGGTTGTGCCCTCCCAGATAGACAGTACCTACACAACACACATACAGGATATTGGTTGTGTCCTCCCAGATAGACAGCACCTACACAACACAAATACAGGATGTTGGTTGTGCCTTCCCAGATAGAAAGTACCTACACAACACAAATACAGGATGTTGGTTGTGCCTTCCCAGATAGACAGTGCCTACACAACACAAATACAGGATGTTGGTTGTGCCTTCCCAGATAGACAGCACCTACACAACACAAATACAGGATATTGTTTGTGCCTTCCCAGATAGACAGCACCTACACAACACAAATACAGGATGTTGGTTGTGCCTTCCCAGATAGACAGCACCTACACAACACAAATACAGGATGTTGGTTGTGCCCTCCCAGATAGACAGCACCTACACAACACAAATACAGGATATTGGTTGTGCCTTCCCAGATAGACAGTACATGCACAACACAAATACAGGCCTAGGATATTGGTTGTGCCCTCCCGGATAGACAGCACCTACACAACACAAATACAGGATATTGGTTGTGCCTTCCCAGATAGACAGTACATGCACAACACAAATACAGGATATTGGTTGTGCCTTCCCAGATAGACAGTACATGCACAACACAAATACAGGCCTAGGATATTGGTTGTGCCCTCCCGGATAGACAGCACCTACACAACACAAATACAGGATGTTGGTTGTGCCTTCCCAGATAGACAGTACATGCACAACACAAATACAGGATATTGGTTGTGCCTTCCCAGATAGAAAGTACCTACACAACACAAATACAGGATATTGGTTGTGCCTTCCCAGATAGACAGCACCTACACAACACAAATACAGGATATTGTTTGTGCCTTCCCAGATAGACAGCACCTACACAACACAAATACAGGATGTTGGTTGTGCCCTCCCAGATAGACAGCACCTACACAACACAAATACAGGATATTGGTTGTGCCTTCCCAGATAGACAGTACATGCACAACACAAATACAGGCCTAGGATATTGGTTGTGCCCTCCCGGATAGACAGCACCTACACAACACAAATACAGGATATTGGTTGTGCCTTCCCAGATAGACAGTACATGCACAACACAAATACAGGATATTGGTTGTGCCTTCCCAGATAGACAGTACATGCACAACACAAATACAGGCCTAGGATATTGGTTGTGCCCTCCCGGATAGACAGCACCTACACAACACAAATACAGGATATTGGTTGTGCCTTCCCAGATAGACAGTACATGCACAACACAAATACAGGATATTGGTTGTGCCTTCCCAGATAGAAAGTACCTACACAACACAAATACAGGATATTGGTTGTGCCTTCCCAGATAGACAGTACCTACACAACACAAATACAGGATATTGGTTGTGCCTTCCCAGATAGAAAGTACCTACACAACACAAATACAGGATGTTGGTTGTGCCTTCCCAGATAGACAGTACCTACACAACACAAATACAGGATATTGGTTGTGCCTTCCCAGATAGACAGTACATGCACAACACAAATACAGGATATTGGTTGTGCCTTCCCAGATAGACAGTAACTACACAACACAAATACAGGATGTTGGTTGTGCCTTCCCAGATAGACAGTACATGCACAACACAAATACAGGATATTGGTTGTGCCTTCCCAGATAGAAAGTACCTACACAACACAAATACAGGATGTTGGTTGTGCCTTCCCAGATAGACAGTACATGCACAACACAAATACAGGATATTGGTTGTGCCTTCCCAGATAGAAAGTACCTACACAACACAAATACAGGATATTGGTTGTGCCCTCCCGGATAGACAGCACCTACACAACACAAATACAGGATATTGTTTGTGTCTTCCCAGATAGACAGTACATGCACAACACAAATACAGGATATTGGTTGTGCCTTCCCAGATAGAAAGTACCTACACAACACAAATACAGGATATTGGTTGTGCCTTCCCAGATAGACAGTACCTACACAACACAAATACAGGATATTGGTTGTGCCTTCCCAGATAGAAAGTACCTACACAACACAAATACAGGATGTTGGTTGTGCCTTCCCAGATAGACAGTACCTACACAACACAAATACAGGATATTGGTTGTGCCTTCCCAGATAGACAGTACCTACACAACACAAATACAGGATGTTGGTTGTGCCTTCCCAGATAGACAGTACATGCACAACACAAATACAGGATATTGGTTGTGCCTTCCCAGATAGAAAGTACCTACACAACACAAATACAGGATGTTGGTTGTGCCTTCCCAGATAGACAATACCTACACAACACAAATACAGGATGTTGGTTGTGCCTTCCCAGATAGACAGTACATGCACAACACAAATACAGGATGTTGGTTGTGCCTTCCCAGATAGACAGTAACTACACAACACAAATACAGGATGTTGGTTGTGACTTCCCAGATAGACAGTACATGCACAACACAAATACAGGATATTGGTTGTGCCCTCCCAGATAGAAAGTACCTACACAACACAAATACAGGATGTTGGTTGTGCCTTCCCAGATAGACAGTACATGCACAACACAAATACAGGATATTGGTTGTGCCTTCCCAGATAGACAGCACCTACACAACACAAATACAGGATATTGGTTGTGCCCTCCCAGATAGACCGTACATGCACAACACAAATACAGGCCTAGGATATTGGTTGTGCCCTCCCGGATAGACAGCACCTACACAACACAAATACAGGATGTTGGTTGTGCCTTCCCAGATAGACAGTACATGCACAACACAAATACAGGATATTGTTTGTGCCTTCCCAGATAGAAAGTACCTACACAACACAAATACAGGATGTTGGTTGTGCCTTCCCAGATAGACAGTACCTACACAACACAAATACAGGATGTTGGTTGTGCCTTCCCAGATAGAAAGTACCTACACAACACAAATACAGGATGTTGGTTGTGCCTTCCCAGCTAGACAGTACATGCACAACACAAATACAGGATGTTTGTGGTGCCTTCCCAGACAGACAGTACCTACACAACACAAATACAGGATGTTGGTTGTGCCTTCCCAGATAGACAGTACATGCACAACACAAATACAGGATGTTGGTTGTGCCTTCCCAGATAGAAAGTACCTACACAACACAAATACAGGATGTTGGTTGTGCCTTCCCAGATAGACAGTACATGCACAACACAAATACAGGATGTTTGTGGTGCCTTCCCAGACAGACAGTACCTACACAACACAAATACAGGATGTTGGTTGTGCCTTCCCAGATAGACAGTACATGCACAACACAAATACAGGATGTTGGTTGTGCCTTCCCAGATAGAAAGTACCTACACAACACAAATACAGGATGTTTGTGGTGCCTTCCCAGATAGACAGTACCTACACAACATAAATACAGGATATTGGTTGTGCCTTCCCAGATAGACAGCACCTACACAACACAAATACAGGATGCAGTTCAACAATCACCCGCACTGTAGAGATGGGATCAGTTGGGAATCATTAACCAATACGTTCTGGGGACATATTTATACCTGTGCATCTCGCAACATCCCGGGCAGACCTGTGTCCTCAATGTACCCTTGACCTCCGAAACACTCCAGGCCCTCTGACGTGACGGACATCGCCTGCAACACAATCCCCCGATTGTCACAGACACTATGTTCATCACTCGTGAATACTTCAGCTATGTGGTGTTGTTGCTATCAAACAATGAATAAGCCACAGCCTGGTTCCAGTGAGAAAATCCTCCAGTGCTCAGATCAACTCCAATTACAGCAGCATGTTGTATCACATGAGCAGTCTACACATTGCACCAGGCAAATGGATGCTTCATGCAAACTTCATTTGTTAAAATTGTGCAAACTGATTTCAATAATCAATAAAAGTTGATTTTTTTTACCAGCGAATAACAACACTGTGGTAAAATATGACGAGAGAAAATGAAAATAAAGATGGTGAAAACTGACAGCAATATTCAGTAAGTGTAAAGGTCACCGGATGTGATGTCACAGATAGGCGTAGCCTGCTGATGATCTTTCGTTTACAGCACATTTTGAAATATTTTGAGTATCTTTTGTTTGAACTTTTGTAAGGACCACCATTTGATGTTACACGGAATATAGAGGTATATGAGTCATGTATCTGTGATGTACATGTTGATGAGTGAGTGAGTGAGTGAATATGACTTTACGCCGTTTTTAGCAATATTCAAGCAATATCACGGCGGGGGACACCAGAAATGGGCTTCACACATACATGTTGATGAGTTTGTTTTCATTCTAATAATTGTGTCCTACAGAATGTGACTATATATATCATTGATCAGCAATGATCACCCTCCACAACAGGTGCGCAAAAGTAAGCGCGACAAATGTGTTTCGAAATAACATTAATGCTTTCCTGAAAATCATAACAACACTTAGACAACAATGTGCATAGACAACACATAGACATCAATGTCCATAGACAACACATAGACATCAACGTGCATAGACAACACATAGACATCAATGTGCATAGACAACACATAGACATCAATGTGCATAGACAACACATAGACATCAATGTGCATAGACAACACATAGACATCAATGTGCATAGACAACACATAGACATCAATGTCCATAGACATCAATGTGCATACACAACACATAGACATCAACGTGCATAGACAACACATAGACATCAATGTGCATAGACAACACATAGACATCAATGTGCATAGACAACACATAGACATCAATGTGCATAGACAACACATAGACACCAATGTGCATAGACAACACATAGACATCAATGTGCATAGACAACACATAGACAACACATAGACATCAACGTGCATAGACAACACATAGACATCAATGTGCATAGACAACACATAGACATCAACGTGCATAGACATCAACGTGCATAGACAACACATAGACATCAATGTGCATAGACAACACATAGACATCAATGTGCATAGACAACATATAGACATCAATGTCCATAGACATCAATGTGCATAGACAACACATAGACAACACATAGACATCAATGTGCATAGACAACACATAGACACCAATGTGCATAGACAACACATAGACATCAATGTGCATAGACAACACATAGACATCAATGTGCATAGACAACACATAGACATCAATGTGCATAGACAACACATAGACATCAATGTGCATAGACAACACATAGACATCAACGTGCATAGACAACACATAGACATCAATGTCCATAGACATCAATGTGCATACACAACACATAGACATCAATGTGCATAGACAACACATAGACAACACATAGACATCAATGTGCATAGACAACACATAGACATCAATGTGCATAGACAACAAATAGACATCAATGTGCATAGACTACACATAGACATCAACGTGCTTAGACATCAATGTGCATAGACAACACATAGACATCAATGTGCATAGACAACACATAGACATCAACGTGCATAGACAACACATAGACATCAACGTGCATAGACAACACATAGACATCAATGTGCATAGACAACACATAGACATCAACGTGCATAGACAACACATAGACATCAATGTCCATAGACATCAATGTGCATACACAACACATAGACATCAACGTGCATAGACAACACATAGACATCAATGTGCATAGACAACACATAGACATCAATGTGCATAGACAACCCATAGACATCAATGTGCATAGACAACACATAGACATCAATGTGCATAGACAACACATAGACATCAATGTCCATAGACATCAATGTGCATACACAACACATAGACATCAACGTGCATAGACAACACATAGACATCAATGTGCATAGACAACACATAGACATCAATGTGCATAGACAACACATAGACATCAACGTGCATAGACAACACATAGACATCAATGTGCATAGACAACACATAGACATCAACGTGCATAGACATCAACGTGCATAGACAACACATAGACATCAACGTGCATAGACATCAACGTGCATAGACAACACATAGACATCAATGTGCATAGACAACACATAGACATCAATGTGCATAGACAACACATAGACATCAATGTCCATAAACAACACATAGACATCAATGTGCATAGACAACACATAGAATCAATGTGCATAGACAACACATAGACATCAATGTGCATAGACAACACATAGACATCAACGTGCATAGACAACACATAGACATCAACGTGCATAGACATCAACGTGCATAGACAACACATAGACATCAACGTGCATAGACATCAACGTGCATAGACAACACATAGACATCAATGTGCATAGACAACACATAGACATCAATGTGCATAGACAACACATAGACATCAATGTCCATAGACAACACATAGACATCAATGTGCATAGACAACACATAGAAATCAATGTGCATAGACAACACATAGACATCAATGTGCATAGACAACACATAGACATCAATGTGCATAGACAACACATAGACATCAACGTGCATAGACAACACATAGACATCAATGTGCATAGACAACACACAGACATCAACGTGCATAGACAACACATAGACATCAATGTGCATAGACAACACATAGACAACACATAGACATCAATGTGCATAGACAACACATAGACATCAATGTGCATAGACAACACATAGACATCAATGTGCATAGACAACACATAGACATCAATGTGCATAGACAACACATAGACATCAACGTGCATAGACAACACATAGACATCAACGTGCATAGACAACACATAGACATCAATGTGCATAGACAACACATAGACATCAATGTGCATAGACAACACATAGACAACACATAGATATCAATGTGCATAGACAACACATAGACATCAGTGTGCATAGACAACACATAGACATCAATGTGCATAGACAACACATAGACATCAATGTGCATAGACAACACATAGACATCAACGTGCATAGACAACACATAGACATCAATGTGCATAGACAACACATAGACATCAACGTGCATAGACATCAATGTGCATAGACAACACATAGACATCAATGTGCATAGACAACACATAGACATCAACGTGCATAGACAACACATAGACATCAATGTGCATAGACAACACATAGACGTCAACGTGCATAGACATCAACCTTGCATAGACAACACATAGACATCAATGTGCATAGACAACACATAGACATCAATGTGCATAGACAACACATAGACATCAATGTCCATAGACAACACATAGACAACACATAGACATCAACGTGCATAGACAACACATAGACATCAATGTGCATAGACAACACATAGACATCAACGTGCATAGACATCAATGTGCATAGACAACACATAGACATCAATGTGCATAGACAACACATAGACATCAATGTGCATAGACAACACATAGACATCAATGTGCATAGACAAAACATAGACATCAATGTCCATAGACAACACATAGACATCAATGTGCATAGACAACACATAGACATCAATGTGCATAGACAACACATAGACATCAACGTGCATAGACAACACATAGACATCAATGTGCATAGACAACACACAGACATCAACATGCATAGACAACACATAGACATCAATGTGCATAGACAACACATAGACAACACATAGACATCAATGTGCATAGACAACACATAGACATCAATGTGCATAGACAACAAATAGACATCAATGTGCATAGACTACACATAGACATCAACGTGCTTAGACATCAATGTGCATAGACAACACATAGACATCAATGTGCATAGACAACACATAGACATCAACGTGCATAGACAACACATAGACATCAACGTGCATAGACAACACATAGACATCAATGTGCATAGACAACACATAGACATCAACGTGCATAGACAACACATAGACATCAATGTCCATAGACATCAATGTGCATACACAACACATAGACATCAACGTGCATAGACAACACATAGACATCAATGTGCATAGACAACACATAGACATCAATGTGCATAGACAACACATAGACATCAACGTGCATAGACAACACATAGACATCAATGTGCATAGACAACACATAGACATCAACGTGCATAGACATCAACGTGCATAGACAACACATAGACATCAACGTGCATAGACATCAACGTGCATAGACAACACATAGACATCAATGTGCATAGACAACACATAGACATCAATGTGCATAGACAACACATAGACATCAATGTGCATAGACAACACATAGACATCAATGTGCATAGACAACACATAGGCATCAGTGTGCATAGACAACACATAGACATCAATGTGCATAGACAACACATAGACATCAATGTGCATAGACAAGACATAGTCATCAACGTGCATAGACAACACATAGACATCAACGTGCATAGACAACACATAGACATCAATGTGCATAGATAACACATAGACATCAACGTGCATAGACATCAATGTGCATAGACAACACATAGACATCAATGTGCATAGACAACACATAGACATCAATGTGCATAGACATCAACGTGCATAGACAACACATAGACATCAATGTGCATAGACAACACATAGACGTCAATGTGCATAGACAACACATAGACATCAATGTCCATAGACAACACATAGACATCAATGTGCATAGACAACACAT